TGAGAGTGGTGTCTGATTTTAATCTTCCTTTAAGATGCTTCAAGCCCCCCCCCACCCCCTCCCCCCTCCTGCTTCCAGACCAGTCCACTCCAGTTTGAGAATTTTTAGCTTTTAGCATTTTCTAGCTTGCAAAAACATTTAATTTACAATCTAATTGAAAGATAAACAACAGAGGACTTGTCCATCCAGCCTTACATGTTGGAGCCAGAGTCTGACCCAGAACCAGAGTCTGACCCAGAACCAGAGGAAATTGTACTTGATAAATCCAGACCTTATATGGTAATTCTATTGCAGATAATTTGACATAATAGTTCAGAAAACATCATAGAAAACAGAGAAAACAGAACGGGCTGAAAAACATGACCCAAACAGAATATAAAGATATCTTTGCAGCACCAGGAAGGACTCAACTTGTCTACCTCCTAAAGACTCCAAGTCCACAACAAAATGTATTTAATGGCTAAAAAAGTGGATTTTGCGTGATATGTATGATATACTTTAATGAAAAGTGACTAAACATTTTAAGAGTAAGTCATAGCATGAGACAGACACATCAACAGAAACGTTAGAGAACATTTTTAAAGAGTTAATCCTGCTGCAGCACAAAATCTAGACATCAATTTCAGGCAAAAACATAAAAATCCAAAGCTTCATTCTTTAATCAGAGATAATGTGCTTACTCAGTCTTCACTGTTGACACAGTTGTGTAACTCCCTAAAGTCAAAATTTCTTTCCATTTCTGAAACACAACTCCTAAAGTCAAAATACTAGTTTTTTTTATTAGCTCTGCCCACTTTTTTATCCTCCATGAAAACAATTTAAAGTGAGTGATGTAATGTTTTTCTGTAACCTCAAACTTGAACAGTTTTAGAATTTAAACACATTTTGATCCAGAAACTGATTAATAGATTATTTCAAGGTTTAAATAAAAATAAAAACTGTGTTTTTATGTTTCGCTGTTTAAAATAAATAAAAAATCACAGCTCTTGTCGGTGGGAGAAATTCCACTATTAGTTGCTAGTGTTACACTGGGGATGGGGCATTCTTTCAGGACCTTTATTTCTTTGCCATTAGTTTTTCACCGTGGGAAGAAGAGT